AACCATTCACCGTAAATGTCCTTTTTTTTTTTTTTACTGAAATCAAAGTTAGCTTTCCTGTTAGTTTAATGAAACTGACATGACAGGCTGGAAATGCTAAGCCACTTGACTTGGATTAACACAAGCCCTGTCACTTATGGGATAATCTACAAACTGTAATTAAAACACACCTGGCTTAGATTATCTGCAAACTAAGTCTGAATGTATGCATACTTTATAAAAATAGAAAAGTTATTGCAGCTTTCAAGATGCAATCCTTACATATATCGTACAAGGAAAACTAACTATCAAATCCCAAGTCACGGAGGAAGAAAAATGTTGGTAGAGGAGTTTAGACTTTCCTACATGCACTTCTCTGGAGTAAAATCAATATTATGTTAAGAAATGACATCAAGTTCAGGTCTGCTTTTGATCTGGCAAGACTAGTATGACCGATCCAGCAAGAAAATGGAAATTGGCTATACAAGACGTTTTCTTTCTTTCTTCTAATATCTAGATACATTACCTGTTTCCAGAACCCAATGAAGATGACAAAAGCCCAGGTATTTTGCCGGTGTAACTACCAGTTCCGTGATTTACATTTTGCTGGTTCTATGTCTGCTGCTCTTCAGAGCTACCAGTTTTACAGAGCCGGACAGAACCGGTAGAATCCCACCCCTGTATATCACACATCACATAAAATACTGTTAACTTTCTGCAGAGTAATCTCATTAATTTGACTTACCCAACTTGTTAAACCGAATTTATATAACTCGCAAAATACCAGATCTTGGTGAATCCAATTCTCCAATTAAAAGTGTATAATGCTGCTAACCCTTAGCTCCATTAATTAGGAACAAAGTCCACCAAATGAAGTATGGTGTTGAACCAGTCCTAAAACTAATCCTTGAGGAATGGTGCTTAACTTATTTGCAGTTGATATATTTGCAAAAGGGATTATGAAAACCTTTGCATATTTTCTATGCTTAACTAAAGTACTCTCATCTCTCTTATTCCCAGTTTCTGATGTTTTAATGTATACAATCCCAGCTTAGTATGGAATGTTAGAAGTGATGTATGGATACTTTTCTATCCACTTCAGCCAGCTGGTGAAATAGGCAGGACTTATAAAAAAATAAAAGCAAACACATTGCAGTGATATGAAGCAGCATTCAGCAGATTTGAAAGAATGTTGGTGCATTCAAATTATATGAAATTATATATGAACACATTCAAATTCATATGAATGTGAAACCTTGAACAGGCAAATTCCAAAATCAAGTGGGCACAAACTTTTCATATTTCAGCTATACATATTGTACATTTGTTATTTAAAACTTCAGTGGCAGAGTAAGCAGATACATAACCTGTTCATGCCTTGATTCTAACTTGATCCCATATAGACAGAAGTCACGGAATTGTATGAATTTAAAGACTTTATAAGGCCATTCATGTCCATCTAGGATAACTGATAATGAAAACAAGAGCAAAGTAAACTAAACACACTACAATACAGTGCCATTCTGTAAGCAAAATGCATCCTGACCACATAACATGCATAGGGGCATACTACTAATTGCAAATGCTTGGTGCCAATTACGTAATGCCTGCAGAAAAGAAGCATCTCCAAGGTCCAGACTATACCAGAGGAGACCGACAACATTACCCACGCCCACCCCATTGAATCTGGTGGGAGGTACAGAAACCACCGGAGATAGGCAGTCCTAAAGTGACGCAGACCTACGACATACAGGCTTTCAGAGGTGACAATAAGCACCTTGGACTGCATCCAGAAGACAACTGGAAGCAAGTGTAGCTTATAAAACTATGATTTTACATGGGTGTACCAGGGTGTCAGAGAATTGCACCTGTCTTCTAGGGAAGGCTTTAACACTGGCAACGGTGGAAGGAAAAAAGAAGAGGTTAACCAGCAGCAAGATAGAGATTCAGTGATAATAGTGATAGTTACACTGTTGGAGGATCTAAAAAAAAAAATGTTAGGGACCTATGATCATGGATGATACATGATCTTGCCTAAATATGGTTCTTATCTCAAATTGAATGCTAATGATTATTCACAAACATATAACCAAGGTTATGATGGTAATTCCAGGTGATAACAGAAGAATAATTTCTTTCTAATAGTACTAGCACCATACAACGGTGATAGATCCATTCCTGATACCATCTCCACACACAAGGGTGTACATACCACATCCTCACTCCACTGATAATAGCCCTCAGCTTCTCTACAACTTCTGAAAAGCCTACTACAACTTAAAAAAATTATTTGGACTTCTATATAGCAGAAGATGAAAACCTCAATATTTCACAAAACTCTTTCGTAAGCAGCTTTTTTCCAGGTACCATTGCAAATGGCTCCCAAATCCTGATAATCTGACAAAATACATCTCTTTGATAGGCTTTTCAGGCTGCTGCATTCAGAGGATATCAGCTGCTTTTTTAAAAAAATTGCTGAAATGTGCACATTTTGGAGGGAAGGAGTAAGGTTACACAAATTGCCAATAGCACTGCAGAATATGGAGACAGGTAGAAGTGAAGAAGCAATATTAGTCCAGTCAGCACAAGAGATTACACTGGCATTGCAAGGTAAAGTTAAACACTGCAATGAATCTGCAACATAGGGGATCAGGTAACAAGCCAAAGTGCCAGTAAAACTTATGTAGATTCTTATTTGTGAGTTGTACTAGTGCCTCAGCATTCAATTTCTGTCTAATGAGAACAAGTCATGTATATCCCACTGTTATATACTTTTTTATATAAATTTGTTTTGCAGTTATGTTTTATGCTTTATTAAATGGGTATTACTTTTCCCACTACAGTTTTAGCCAAAGGGCAACTGTTTTATCCTATTTTAGGAACGTGTATAGTCTGCTACTCTATACACTACTTCACCTTAACCTTGAACTAGGTTAATACATCTGTACCTCCTCCCCAGTATATTTCTATTCTGCTAAAACTAATCAATTTTACTAGCAAGAGAGGGAGAAAGGAGACAATCTTGAAACTGTAACTTTAAAAAAGGAGGGGAGAACCACAAAATTCTTTCGAAAGGGCAAATAAGGAGAAAGGACTGGATAGTATTAGCATAGCATGCATCCAAACAAAAATTGTTTTGGCTGCTAAACAGGAACAACTAGAAAACCTTTTGATTAAATCTTTTTGTTTTTCTTACAACCCCCTGCAGAATATTTGCTTGGGGAAACTGCAACTTTGAGACAACTATGACCTGGATGACTTGAGAATCCCCAGACTTTTTTTTTTCTCTTGCCAAAAAGTTATATGAATTTTCACACGACCATTGCGGGAACACGTAGGGCAAACAGTTCTAGTAAATAAATGAAGTCCCGCTTCCTAACGTCCTGTTTTTATTGTTTTGCTCCCGCCAGGAAAGTCCCACTCGTGGGGGAAACCGCTTCTCGCGGCTCTCGTCCTTCCCGCCGCCTTGCCTCAGAGGCAGATTTTTTCTTGAAAAGCCTCCTTCCGTGCCAGGCGCTTTCATCCTCCAGGCCGCCACGCGCCCCAGCCCAGCCTTTTCTGGTCCTGGGGGAACCGGAGCGCTCTCGGCCGGCTCTGGTTTCGCCGGCCCCCTCCCCTCCCTTCCCCCGCCTCGTAGCAGCCCCCTGAACCAGGGTGACCTTGGCCCACGTTCCAGGCATTCCTGCGCCGGCTGGCTCCTCAGCGGAGGAGTTACTAGCGGTCACCAAGCATGAGCCGAGCTTCTCTTTCGGCGGGCCCCTTCCCCGCCCTCCTCCACGCCAGCGAGCGCACTGGCTGAGCCGCTTCTGGCCTCTCCTGACGCCGCGGGAGGTTAAACACGCGAGGAGGCTGGGAAGTAACCGGCGGAAGGAAGCGCCCGTTGCCTTCGAAGGACACGCCGCGGGCTACACAGAGGTTACGCCTCACCTTCCCTGCGCTACTCAAAACTAAACGCGCGCCAAAACGGCTCCGCCCGCGCCAAACGGTCCGAGCACCTCTCGGCAGGGCTTTCCCACTTTCCCAATTGTTAGGAAAGCCGTCCCCTTTGCCGAAGCGGCCGCCGGGCTTGGGCTTTCGCGAGCCGCGAGTCTCTTCACGGGCAACGCACAAGGCCCGTAATATATTTGTTAAAGCAACGGAACGAACAAATTTCAAGACGCGGGGGGACGACGACGCAAGACGCGTAATCGTGGCTCCAAGTTGCTCCGCAGGTCGCAGGCAGTCCAAAGACGTTTCCCTTGCAAGCCCCGGGAGACCGCCACGTTTGGGGGGACGCTGACGAAAAACACGCCCCTCTCGCCCGCCCTCTGAACGTTGGGCCGTCCTCCTCCTCCCCTCTTCTGGTGGTCCCACTCGGCCACGCCACGCCCCCTCCCCCGAAGAGAATAACCTGATACAACCCACCTGAACCTGTTTTGCGCACCTGCCCTCCGTCTCTTTCCCCTGATACCAAGTCAACACTCTCCGTAGGGCAGACCGCTCGCTGCTGCTGCAAGAGCAGCAGCAGCAGCAGCAGCAGCAGCAGCAGCCCAAGGCAAAGAGGCAGCCAGGTCGCCCTTCAAGTCCCTGCCACCGAGGCTGACACTACCCCGGCTGGTAGTAGGTTTAATTCAGGGGACGTGCGACAAGCTCTGCCCTTCTTCCTTTTTACGCAGTCCCGGGCGCAACCTCATGTTAGCCGCCTCCTTCCCGGAACGAATGTCCCGAAACAAACCCTCTCTGCAAAGTCCGCAAGCTTTGCAAATCTTGGTCGGGACCCCGGCTTGTCAGGCTCCCTCCCAATTCCCCGCCCCGTTACCCATCCCTGCCCATTGAACCCTCCGTTTGTCGTACCCCTCTCTCGGCTTCCCTTCCTTCCTTCCTTCGTTGCCCGGCAGCCTGCTATATACTCCAGACTCACTTCGGCTCCTTTTCTCCTTCCACGACGAGCCTGAGCCTCGCAAGCGTTTTTTTTCCGCCTCACCTTTCGTGGGAGAGGCGAGGCGATCTCTCTCGGGACGCCGACCCGAAACCGGACTTACCTGACGAGACCACGGCGTTCTGGCTAGCCGGCTTCCCGCAAACCGCGACGAGGCACATCCACAGGGCTGCCAGGAGCGCTGCTGGTCTTCTACACATGGCTCGGAAAAAGGCGGCCGGTGTCCCGGACCGAAAACAAGGGCGAAGGGCGGGCGGTGCAGTGGGGAAGGGAAGCGTTCGTTGACAAAGAACGAGGGGGGAAGGAAGAAGGAAAAAAAAGTTTCCTGAAGTTTTAACCGGGGCGCGAAAGCTTGAGAAAGGGCGAACGCCGCCGCGGGAAGAGCAAAGGAAACGCTAACTCCGCGCTCGGCTCCTCTTGCCCCGCGCCTTAAGTGCGTGAAGAGAAATATGCAAATGAGACTCCCCACCTATTGGCTCTTACCTCACGCGTTCTTGGTGGAGGGAGGAGGGAGGGGCCCTTGTATAGCCCCTGGCCTTGGAACCGAGCCGGCTGGACGACAGGCCGACCGGCCGCTTTCTTCTTCCAAAAGATGCCTTCGCAGGGAGCGGGAGGGGTTTAGCCACTTGCGCACTGAGCGCGTTTCCCCCAAGGAAGGCCTTTCTCCTTGCAACGCCACCGAGTTTGCTACAAGGACAAACGGGTCTGGCATGGAACGTGGGCGGAGTGCGCGGGGAGGGGGGGCAGAGGCGGCGGGGGGTGGTGGTGTTTAGGGACGGTTTCGATCCGCCACGGTATTGCACAAAGCTCGCCAGGGGCAACTGGACCGGATCCTTGTTCCCGTACTTTTTTTTTAATGCGGGCAAGTGGGTTGGGAATCCCAGGCTGAAGAGGAGCGCAGGGCGGGAAGGTGGACGCTTCTTTGCCTTTTCTCCGCTTCTCCCCGCCTGAGTTCTCCACAGGAGCCGCGCCATCCCGGAAACGCCTTTGCGTTTTAAAGAGGCCCTCCTCCGTTGCTGCGAATCGCTTTCCCCAGCTTCGTATCCCAAACGTCGCCAGACCTTTTTGCCTTCGTGGGTTTAGGGCCGCTTGCTCCACGAAAGGTATTCCCGCCACGGTGACAGCGTTTAGGTGACAGCGTCAGGTGGATAGGGTGCTCCTCTTATTTCGTTTGTTCAAACCGTGACCACCAATTCATAGAGCCAGGAACAAGTTCATTTGTTTTGCGTCTAACTAATCAGTCACAGTCTTCAGCCTAGGACAGGAGTCTCCGACCTTGGGGCACTTTAGGACTTGTGGACTTCAACTCCCAGGATTCCCCAGCCAGCCATGACACCCACCCATGCTGGCTGGGGAATTCTGGGAGTTGAAGTCCACAAGTCCTAAAGTGGCCCAAGGTTGGATAACCTTGGTCTAGGAGTTATCATCCATTCCCTGCCCAACTCTGGAAAAGTAATTTCCTACTAGCAAAGAGTAAACATAATTTCTTTTTTTATTTTGTACTGGATTGCAAAGAATATCTCCTTGCTCTGACATAAAATACTATTCCTATTTTATGTTTAATTTACTGGTTTCTGACTTCAGAAAAATCGGAGCATTTAGAGTCCTGCTTTGCAATAAATGCAACTGTTTCTTATTGGTACTTGAGAAACATAAAGATGAATCCCCAAGGAAAAATTTTCTGTGTAACCCCAATTCCATAAGGAGGGGATGTGCAAGAGCCTAGGAAGATCTGCCAGATCAAAGTTCACACAAGTTGTTTCATCACATCATATGCCCATTGCTTCAGTAACAGTTCTCTCCCGTGTGCTACCGGAATATGCAGTCTCCAGCCCACCCCTATCTTCCTCACTTGAGAAATCACATCCCCCCCCCACTTTTCCCCCCAGAACTCTTTTGTATCCCTCCCAGTATTTTTTTTTTCCTCTCTGATGCCTGCAGTTTAAATTTGTTCCTAAAATTTTGTAAGGGGCAATTCACTCTGCAATCTCAGTCTCTATCCCAGGTCGTAGTAACTTTGCTCTCCATTTGGAAAGCTTTCTTTAAAGAGAAAAAGAAAGAAAGCCATTTCCGCAGTCCCAAATGAGAAGTATACAATTTCATCAGAAAGAGAATGCAATCACACTTTCCATTTGGGAAAAATGAATTTAATCAGAGCCAATCCAAGACCTTTGTTGCCTGGGGCAAAGGACGAGATGATGCCCTATTATTATACATGTGGAAAATTAATTTAAACTGGCAGTTTGTGGGGAGGGGTTCAACACTGACAATTTGGCAACATCTCCAGCTGAGGATGGCTGAGTCACTTTGTGGGATAAAGCAGGAGAAGTTTGGCCGCCAGCTTCTCTAAAGGGCACCTCTTTAGCATCTGATGCCTGAAGCAGTTCCCTTGTTTTTCCTTAAAAGCATGATTGGTGTTGGAAAGCAAACTTTTCCCTGAGGTATTTTGGCAATTTTTTTTCATACTTTTTTTTAAAAAATTTCCTCTGATGTTATGTTGCTTAGCAACACAAACTAACTCTAAGTGAGAGTAGGGAGTTCTGTTTTTATTTAATGATAATGTAAAATACAACTTTTTCCAGTAGATAATGAGGATGGCAAGGATATGTTGCAATATTCTCAGAGGGGATTCTTAATTGAAGAATTCAAGGGTAGCCTGTTAAAATAAGAATTATCAAGCAGTAATATCTTGCATTCAGTGTATTCAACATTCAACTTTCTCTCTTCCCCCCTCTCTCTCTCTGCCCCTTCCCTCTCACACACATTATACTGTAGATTAGATATTGCTTTCATTGCCTTTCCCTTTGTGCAGGGAATAAAACAGGATTAGCATCTACAGGGAGCAAAAAAAGAAAAAAGAAAACCCACCTGTAGCAGAAGAAGAAAATATCTGTAGCTCAGGATTGAACGGTGTGGTCCTTGATGCTTTCTGAGCTTGGTAGTTTTCTTGCAGAAGTTTCATTAACAAAATAGGCCACATCAACAGTGCTAGCATTGATGCTCTTATGTAGTTTGGTAATGAAACTTCTACAAGAAAACCACCAAGCTCAGAAAGTATCAAGAAGCCCAAAGACTCACTTGTTTTGTACATGCATCCATGCCTAACACATGCACAAAGGGGCGGTTGCTTTGATACAGCCATTTTTGGTCCCTTCCCACTCCTCCATCCCAGGAAATCCTTATCAAAAAGTTAGGAAGCATCTACGTTTTGACATGTGACAGTGGCCAAAATCTGGGAAGTGCAGGGCAGGGTTTGTGAGCCTCTATAGTAGGGACTAAAGGGATAAAGGTGCATTGTGATATGCACACAACTACAACGTTCCCCGATCACTTTCTTAGTCTCCCCAACATTCTCAATCACACACTTGCAGTTGGATGGCTTCCCAAAAGAAAAGGAAAAAAACCACTGATTTGAACAGGGTCACTAGGAGGGTGGGAAGCCTGTATTCCCTTTCCCTTTGAACAATTCAGTCAGAGATAACTGATTTCCCTGCTAATGGTTACTAGAAGATAATGAGGGTTACTTCTTTCCCCCTAGCAATTCATTGTTTCCTATTGCAATTATAAACTGGTAACCAGATATCTCTTCCCCACCGACTAATTATCAGGCTAATCTGGTGGGAAAAGCTAGTGAAGTTCATGATGGTTTATGAGGGCAATCATCCATTCAGCCGTAGTTAGACTTATTTTTCTATCAAAGGAAAAGTAATATATTGGGGCTCAGTATCAAAATTAACTAGAGCTACCCCTCCTTCCTTCCCTCCAGTTGCCTATTCCTCCGTGTCCATTCTGGTTCCAGTTGGTGAGCTTCTTTTGTCCAGTAATCTGTTGCAGGATTATTTAAAGTAGACTGAAGTCTGTAGGTTAGATTTTCCTGTTCTACATATCTATGTTTTGCCAACTTTTATCATGTTGCTTAACTACCACTCTAATATAAAAGCCTCGTGTGCTTGAAAGTGAAGCAATATCAAACTATAAAGTCCTTAATCTGACAGGATGTCTTTGGATCAGATACAAATCCCCCCCCCCCTCCTGGAACTGGTCAACTCTCTGTAGCCAACTTGCTATGTCTTACTTGCCATGGGACACATCAACAATTCAATTTAATGATTTTTTCAAAAAAATTAATCATTCACATTTCATCTTGTCCCTCCCTTTCTTTGCCTTCTTTGTTTAATGATTCTATTCCACAATTTCTTTGATAATAGTGTAATTCTTGTGCCCTGGTGAGTTGTGCCCTGGTGAGTTAGCCATGGTGAGTTGTACCAATGTCCCATGGTGAGTTGGCCGCAGTGAGTTGGCCACAGTGAGTTGGCTGTGGCAGATTGGCTACAACGAGTTGTCCTAGACCCACCCTCTCTCCCTCCTCCCTGGCTGCAACATTTCATCTTTATACTCTTAATCTCACCAAATAGAACATAAATCTCATCACTAATGCAGTCACATCCACCAGTCCAGGGGTCTTCAAACTTGACAGCTTTAAAACTTGTGGGCTTCAACTCCCAGAATTCCTCCTCCGGTCATGTCAGCTCAGGAATTCTGGGAGTTGAAGTCCACAAGTCTTAAACTTGCCATGTTTGAAGACCCTTGGCCTAGTCAGTCTCTTAAAGAAACATCTTTTAGCCACTAGTGTTTTCCAAGAAACAACCTTAATGCCAAATTTAACAGAACTGCAATTAGCTTATAACTCGATCAAACTATATATGTGTGTGTATAAATATGCGTGTATGTATATAAACTATTGATATCTAGACTACTTTATACACTCTATGTATCCTTAGTGTATGTAATCCGTATCAGTGTAATGTAGATAGGTGTCATGAAATTGGGAGGGAAGAGAAAGCTCTTGATAAATGAGGCAACCTTGCTGAGCTCAGTTTTAACTAATGACTAAAAGATGAGTAACGAAACAGCTTTATTTCAGATGATCCATGAATTTGGTAGCTGCTAGCCCTATGCCAGAGCTGGACAACCTGAAACCTGTTGGCCATGTGCAATGCTCCACAAGATACAGAGATGTGAGGAAAGGACAGAAGGGTTGTTACATTTGGGAGCCTACAGCCTTTTGTTCAAATATTTGATGCTTTCTTGTAAGCTGCCCAGAGCAATTGAGATTCAGAGGCATACAAGTTTAATAGTACTCTGCATTTCCCAGATTTTGGCCACTGTCACACCTCAAAATGTAGACACTTCTTAACTTTTTGATAAGAATTCCACCAAAGATTTCCAGAGGTGGGTGGGAGCAGGGGCCAAAAGATTATATTACACTATCAAAGCAACCCACCCCTTTGTGCATGTGTTTGGCATGGGTGCACTTTTTTTGCATTAAGGGTTAAGTTGTTTATGGTTAATACATCTATTTTGAATCACTTTCCTAGCTTCCTCCCCCTCTCCAAATTATACATATATTCTTTCTGCGTACAATTAAGTCA